ACAAGCGAGCCGCCACCTCAACCAGAAAACGCGACACTCGGTCTATAAACAACAATGTCTCAATCAATTGATGCTCAATCTATCCAAAAAGAGGGTCGTTTATCTTTAGCTATACACGCTATCGGTCAAGGCCAAATTCAGAGCAATCTACAAGCTGCAGCTATATTCAACGTCCCTAGAACAACTCTTAGAGATCGACGCGCTGGAATCCTTTCACGACGCGACTGTACGCCCAATTCAAGAAAACTTACGGATCTAGAGGAGAGTGTTATTATTCGACATATCTTGGACCTAGATTCGCGAGGATTTGGGCCCCAGTTGGGTGGTGTTGAAGATATGGCCAATAAACTCCTTGCTGCTCGGGATAGCAGAAGCGTCGGTGTCAACTGGGCTCTCAGCGTGGTACAGCGACGATATACCAAAGGATTGGGTTTTGACCCTAAGCGACTATGGATGGACTATGAATGAGCTTGGATTTGAATGGCTACAGCATTTTGAGAAGTATACAACGCCTCGTACAACCGGAGGCTGGCGTCTCCTGATCATTGATGGGCACGAGAGCCATAACTCCCTTCAATTCCAGGAATTCTGCAAAGAGAAGAACATTATTACGCTTTGTATGCCTCCCCACGCGTCCCACAACCTCCAGCCGCTTGATGTGGGTTGTTTTGGGCCTCTGAAGAAGGCGTACGGATATCAGATTGAGGACTTGATACGGAACTCTATCAACCATATCACCAAACTCGAGTTCCTACCAGCATTCAAAGCCGCACACGAAGCCGCTCTTACGAAGAAGAATATCCGTGGGGCCTTCCGAGGCTCAGGGCTAGTTCCGTACGATCCAGAAGCCGTGATTTCGAAGCTCGACGTCAGACCAAGGACTCCGACTCTAGCCGCTGAGGATGCTCAATGGGAGACGATAACACCAAGCAACGCTATTGAATTGACGGCTCAATCGAAGCTAATTCAAGGCCGTATTACGAACTATCAAAATAGGTCGCCTACGCCAATCAATGAGGCGCTTGATCAGTTCGTCAAGGGCGCCCAGGCAATGGTCCATTCGCTCACGATTCTGAAGGGTGAAAACGAGACTCTTCGAAAGGCAAACAATCTCGCAACGCAACGAAGACAACGAAAAAAAAAGCGGATTCAGGAGCGAGGGTCTTTGACTATTGAGGAGGGGCAGGATTTAATTATTCATTCCGCCGTTGAGTCCCAAATTTCTCAAGAAATGCGTCAAAGTCGTACCCGGCAGGACGGGGCTGCGCCGCGTCGAAGGCGATGTGGACGCTGCCGTGAGGTAGGACATCGTATTGAAACATGTCCTCTAGGTCGGCAAGATACTGTAGAATATACTAGATATTATAAATAAGTGATTTTATTTGGCGTTGTAGAGAAATCTGTACTTGAAGTGGTTTGGTATAGGTTGAGGTGGCGGCTCGCTTGTAGTGGCGGCTCGCTTGTAGTGGCGGCTCGCTTGTGGAATACGTTACGGAATAATTCACTTAACTAACTAGTTACCAACATAAGTATCGGCTATCAAACATCATATGGACTTAAGTCGCGACGCGTCGCGGCCAGAGACGTGTAAGTGACGCGTCAACACCCAACGGAAGTATCTCTTCAGTTTTCACTTGTTAACCCCGGTTCCTATCAATATCCGGTTACATGAGGGCCTGGACGTCTGGTGCATGACAGCAGAACAAACGGACCTGCTACTTCCATCTGCTGGGTCCCGCAGGCGCGACGTCAACTTTCCAAGCATCAATTAAAATTATACAAACACCAGTCCTCATAGGTTTCAAACCGCGCCCATCTTTCCCGGGGCATTTGGACCTCCTGATGCAATGGCCTCGACGAAGTAACTCCCCTGTCGACACATCCTCCGGAACAGTGGAGGAACAGTTGAATATATATTTTCCGCGGATATCAAAGGAAAGAATCTCGTGCGTGGTGATCTGGTTCGACGTGGTTTGTACGATTCCGAAACACCATCCACCGAGACAAGTTTTCGAGGTGCTTTTCCCGATAGAGAACGCTCGAAAATGGTGGAAGTCGTCAATGTGCCCTTTCTGACAGTTTAGTTCTTCATTCTGTTTCTAGGAGTCCGCGGAAGCACTCACTAGAGAATGAGTAATGGCTGGAGAGGTATATGGACTCTTCCAGACCTCTCCATATTCGATAATTTGGCGACCGTTTCAGTTAAGCGATAGAAAAGTATTCCTGCTCATGGATACTTCGGCAGCCTGAGCAACTTAGGCGGGCAATATCTGCCTCGGAAGGGGCGGATTCCATTCATTTTCATGCTCATTCTACAATTTGGTCCCCCCATCACGCTGAGTCAGGAAGCCGAATCGGAGGAGCTCCTAACTATCCATTAAGGTCTAGATCTCCAACATCTGATGCTGTCACAGAATATCTGTGTTTCTTGGCGTTTCCCCACGGCTTCATTCCGTATTCGATTCTATACCCCTATTCTTTCCCTTCTTAGGGAAAAGATCACCATTGTAAACCATATAAAATAGCTGCAGGAACAGCCTGTTTTCGTAGGATCCGGCTCTTCAGGATCAAGGTTAATCTATCTACGCTCTTTTGGAATCTAAAGGTGTTTTCCCACGGTGTCGCTGCATTAATCACCTGATTGAGCGAAACCGCTATTTATCTCACAGATGCGACGCCGCGAGGAGCAAGGCAAGTCCTAAATTCACGGCACTCTCGTTATAATATGAGGCTGCCAACAGGACATGTTTCTTGCAATCTCCAGTATTAGTTCAACTGGAAGATTATGAAGGCGTCGCTCGTGCGGTTATGTAGGTCGGTACTTCTCAGTGCGCCATATACACCTCGTGCTCCAAGAGGACTATATTCCGCAGCTGAAATTCCGTTGAAGAAGTATTGTGAGAGGGTAGTTGCTCAGCATATCCACTACACCACAAGAATATGTACCCGGTCCACCACCGTTCAAGTGACCATCGAATATGGCTACCGGGTCGACAGGGCTGTGTGGTGCTGGAGTGATGTTTGTTGTCTAGAATATACGAGTTACTCTCGGCCGATGAGTTCACAGTTGGGTATGGGCTTCTGCAGAAATGGACGAGATGTATTCTATGCCGAATAATTTGGTTTATGAATTTAGTGCTCCACCCAAGCAAGACTGGGTGCATACTCTAAGAAAACTGGCGAAACATAACCCTACAAAAAAAATCGTTATGGTCATGGCATAGCAATAAAACTCCATCCATTACCCTACTTCTTGCGTAATGCGCCCTTCTCCAAATCTTACGCCCACGGATCGAACCCATTGTTCCTGGCATCCTGTGGCATGGCCTCATTCAAAGATCCACCGAACCTCTCATCCTTCATGTCAGAATGAGCATTCCCCCAATCATGCACCATCAGCGCATGGCCAATATCATCCCTGACCACTTCCCGGGAGACAAGCCACGCCTTGAACCACACCCCCCAGTGGTTCTCAATCTTGTCGTCCTCAGGTTTCGCCAATCTGAAAGACCCGGTATTCGCGGCCCCATGGTGATAAACGAGCTTCGGATGATTCCCCTCGAACCGAACGCCGGTGTAGTAGGCAGTGGTGTAGTCTCCGTGTGCGGACCACGACACGAATCTGACCTCGTCGTTCAGCGTCCAGACGATGATGAACTCCCAATCGTGGCGGTGCCCATTTTGGCCGAACGCGAACATCTGGTCCATCTCGAAATAGTAGCCGTACATGTACGCGCACCAGCCGTGGTTGCAGCGCTGGCGTGAGTATGCGTTGCTGTGGTACAGCCGATCTTGGGCGCGACAGAGGTCGAGGTTGTTGTTCCTCGGCTCTAGACCAGGGTTGAGGTTTTTGTCTTTGTCGATGGCGGCGACGTGGTAGCAGCTGTCTTTATCAAAGTCCAAGACCGGTTGCCATTTTAGCGCGCCCGATGTGGCAGTGTCGGGTAAGGGGCTCAAGAGATCGGATCGAACGGGAACTGCCAGGAAAGCTATCAAATATGTGGCAACGAAGGCCGCTGTGTGGAGAATCGAAGAATGAATCATCTTAGATAGAAGAAAAATGACGAGGCTGTTCAGTGTGTCCAACTTCTGCTTGGCTGGAGAGTTGTATTTCTAATGGGATCTGATTATCCTGACGACCACAACGACTTTATAGTCTAACGACCCTCGCTCACCTTTGGAATCATCATGCCCGCAGCGACTTATGAATGCTCTACGGTATGCCATCTTTAGGATATGTCCGATGGCAGCGCCGTGCAAGAAAGCAATGGCGAGATACCGCCTACTGAAGCGGTCGGCGTCCCCATCTTGATGCATATTGGTGATGGAAGCTGAGGAAGAGAAGAAAATTCGGAGAGATTGGATGCTCCAGAGAATTTTGTTGGACTCGAGCGGTGACCAGGGCATGGCAGAATTGGCCCATGTTCTGGGCTCGTTGGGACAAACAAGTATCTGTAAGGTATGTATATCGAGCACCGGCTAATGCAACATAACGCCAGGCAAGGTGGATGAAGGGGGAGCCGATGATATCCCGTAATTTTGGTGTTTTGGAGGTTGATGTATGGCGAGCTGACCTATAGGCATCGCACATGACACTGTAAGGCTAAGGTTACGATAGGTCCCCCTATTGGACTGCACACTCCAAGCTCTTTAGGAAACCTCTCCATGATGTTGGCACCGTTGCATTGAAAAGACGCGGAAACTTCCGTATCAAAGGCGTAAAGGACAAGAATAGGGCTGGACTACATACCGCTTATCCAAAGAGGTATTGGGATCAACCAGTGGGAATGACATTGCATGCTTCAACAGAGGGGTCATGTAGTGGAACCGCCTCAGTCAGCAAAGATTCCGAGCCCCCTGGCCATCAGAAATCTACATGTCTTGTAGAACAAGTTTAGACGTGAAAAGATATCAGTACGTGACGATGTGGGTCTAATAGAAAAGTCTCCCAATGGAGATACTAACGAAGCCGTCCCATGAGACTGACCGCTTCGAACGTGCGTTTGAAGAGGCCGGATATGCTTACAAGAGCGGACAGCCAGCTCGAGCTCAACGATTGGTGGTGAAATAGAAATCTGCCAATAGAAACTTTCGTCATATGCCTCTACACAAACTGAATTGAAACCCCTGGATGTTTGCAGCAGTCCACTCGACATCATATTCTGCAAGATGAGTATTAACCGGCGGTCATGTCCCGGGTAAATAGTACTGTTCCATGACCCTGGTGCGGCTGAGATATGGGAAGGACCGAGATAGGCAAGGAAATCCAGATCCTCATGACCTATATGGGTCTCCTTAAGCATCCTGGCATCCGCTTAGTGTAGTCCTTTGTACTCACCGTATTACCTGAACTCGTAAACACTAAATGGTTTGATGGCGCAGACACCGGATCGCCCTGACTGGAGCCTGGACTTCGGACAGCTCGCATTCAGAAGTCTAGACCAATCCACCTCGAACAGCTGTTTTGCTCCCTTCCCGACCACCGGGAACTCTTAAGGCTGAATTATAGGCGCATTTCGGAAAGTCTCCGAAAAGAATCGCAGTCTGCTCTCGGGTCTAACCCAGAACCTGTATGTTGCGGATGCAACTCAAGCCTTCGATGGCTCTTTCTTGTTGGTGAAGTCTGATTGCGGTGTCGCTCCGACCGTACTCCGTACCTTAAACTGATGTTCATATTCGGTCCTTTATATGGACCTTGAAGTTTTTGCGACGTTGCATACGTCGCTTTCTCAATGAATTGAAGACACCTATATATGGGGCAGCACAAAAAGGGGATGCCAGATATCAAATTGGGCATCAAGATCGGTGTGGGTGGGGTTAGCGCCCCGCTGATCGAGAAATTCAGGGTTTCGACCCCAGTTTGACGCAATCCGATCATCAGTCAGAAATTTTGAGCTTCCACCAACATCATCGACCTTACCAGCCACCGCATGACTGTTGAGCAACGATGAGTGCAGATATCTTACCCTCTATACGACGCTTTGTCGCCGTCTTCTACTTCCCCGGGCAACCTCTGCCGGTTCCGGTAGATGAGCGACCTCCTCGAGCCGATGAGACGTTAGAGACAAACCCGACGCCCGCACATAGCACAGAAGCACTGACCGCGAAGGATCGCGTGGCAGCGGACGACTCAATATCAGAGCCACCGTTTGTGCTCCTGCAGAGGGAGCTCTTACGGTGCTTACAAGGCATCAATGGCGTCTCAATAGAAGGCACCAGGAGTTTGAACTCGAGCCCCCGAATAGGCGAAATCACATTTACTTGCGATGACCACTCCAAAGCTACCCCGATCGATGGCCAATTTCTCTACAGATTACGCAGCCAACCGCAACTAGTTGAGCTCCAGGTCAGAACGGGCGCTGAACTGAACTTCCTCCCTGACAACGTCTTCCGCCGCCACCGCCGACTCGCCGTCTTCGACATGGATTCTACCCTCATCCAACAAGAGGTAATCGACGAGATAGCACGATCACTCGGCCCTGTCTTCCAGAAGCAAGTCTCCGATATCACCGAACGTGCCATGAATGGCGAGCTGGATTTCACCGCGTCGCTGCGCGAGCGCGTCGCCCTGCTGAAAGGCGTCAAGGTCTCGGTCTTCGAGGAGCTTAAGTCCGTCATACGGATGACGCAGGGGGTTCCCGACCTGATTAAGGTGCTGAAGCGGCTTGGGTACAAAACAGCAGTGCTGTCCGGTGGATTTATGCCGTTGACGGGTTGGCTTGCGAAACAGCTGGAGTTGGATTATGCACATGCGAACAACTTGGTGGTCTCGACGGATGGGAAGACGTTGACGGGAGAGCTAGAGGGGGTCATTGTGAATGCGGAGATGAAGCGGGACCTGGTGTTAGAAATTGCGCAGAAAGAAGGCATATTGCTGGAGCAGACGCTCGTGGTTGGAGATGGCGCTAATGATCTGAAGATGATGGGCGTGTCAGGTCTTGGTGTGGCCTTCAATGCGAAGCCGAAAGTACAGGTCGACGCCCCAGCACGGTTGAATTCGAGCAGCCTGCTAGATGTCATGCATCTTCTAGGATTTACGAAAGACGAGCTGAATGATCTCTTGATATAACTTCCACTCAGTTCTCAGTTACAGGTACTACTGTACGCCGATTGGATGGGGACACCACATGTCCAGCATGCCGAACTCCTCAAGCTACGAGCAATTGCTTAGCAAGCGAGCATGAATGCGCTCATTCTGCGAGTGCAGGTTTGGGGAGTAATTATCCCTAGGTAATTAATTATACCTCACATCTTAACTCTCGACGTGCATGTCCAAACCTCGCATGAGGGAAACGTGCCCGAATCCCTCTCTCTTGACCATACATACGCCGTTCTTCATGTTCCTGAGCAGTCCATCCATTCATTTCCACTATCATGGTGCCTGAATCTCCCCTAGACAATTTTCTTTGGGTTAGCTGGTGTGGCATCTGTTATGTCTATAAGGTGAATCCTCGCATCGTACTCAAGGTGCCTAAATCCGGCAACGAAAAGAACGACGGTTTCGCAAAGAGGTTGAGATCTTCGACGTTCTCTCATGCCATCCACCCTGCCCCTATTTGATATCCTGCTTTTTACACGCCGACGACCGTATCTTTCTTGAGTATATGCGAGATATCTGTCTTTCCTGGCGAATTCAACAGAATCATATCCGAGACCATGAAACCATGCGTGTTGTCAAGGTGGAAAGACTGGAAACCCTTCACCTGCGAAAGACGTAGATGAATGATCTTTTTCTTGCCGTCGCGTTTCTGGAGTCCCACTACCTAGCTAAATCTTACTTGCGCTGGCCAGAGAAGAAGGTTGCGGAATAAAAGAGTAACAATTTGCCTGATGAAGGCGAAAAGGTCGCAGCCACGGCTTTCCAACATCTACTCGTTATTGGTCCTTTCCGGTATTATCATAAAGCTCAGGGAGACGAATGCTCGTCACGCAAACAGTCGAAAGTAATGGAGCCGTCGAACAGACGGGGTAGTTCTGCTAGAAAAATCTCCAACGTCAGATGCCTCAATTATATCATCAAATTGATTGAAAACAGGCTGGGAGACTGCAGATGCGACTCTTCGGTTGCTTGTGCGTTCATGCAAACTGCAGGAGACCCTAATATCTTGAAGGACTCAGCTGGTGTCTAGGGCTATCCTCTCGCAAAGTTTCGGCTGGCCAAGCTCCTTCTTCGAATGTCGAGTGAATACTGCCGTCGTGCTCAGTCTTGGAATTGTCGACAGTCCCAAAAAGTTGCCTCTCAATTTCAATGGTGTGTCAATGGTTGCGAAGAACTCATTCCTTTCCTATCCCTTGAAATTATGCCCAAGGTACGAAGTAGGAATGAAATGATGTTCTCGAACTTCTCGCAGAAATTCGACAAGGCATGCTGTGTCACGTGCTGGGATCGAGTTGGAGCCCAGGTTCGAAAAAAGTCAGATCGGAGACCGGATTACAGATTACTCGACAGGTACAATACCAGGACAAAACTATTAGGCGGGAGTCGGGATCCTTTAGCGTGGTATGAACACATTTGCTAATTGCGCGTGGAACCGCGACAGTTAAGCAAATTTAAGAGCGTCAGTTGACCGGACTTTCAGACTTTCAGAGTTCAGACTCGAGGCGCAAAATCCGGAAGCGCTCCCCATTGCCAAGAAGTTCGCGCCCGTAAAGGATCGCTTAACGATGCCATAACCGGATAGGATTGGCCATCCCGCAGCCCAGGGCTGGGAACTAGGCCTTGTTGGCCGACTGGCGTCGAGCTGGAAGACCAAAATGGTGATAGCGCAAGGCGGAGGGCGAAGATTGCTCCCTGTTAATTGTTATGTTACTAGTTATCTGCTGCCCCAGTCCCTTGTGTACTGATGTCTGAAACCCCCTGCGCAGGCTGGGGAGCGATTCCCGACAATCCTTTTATTTAGCCTTGCAATACCCGTGTGCGACGGCGGGTGTACTCTATTTAGTATTTCCTTGTTCGCATTGTTCCACGGCCCTGGTTCCAAGTTCCAACGTGTGGGATCGTCGTGAGCGCGAATTTCCAAATCCACGGTACCCAGCAGTCGTCGAAGATGCGAAGGGCGTGGTTTATCTCGGCCATTGTCGCCCAACTGGCGGCGATGGCAATGGGACAGAACCTTGCCTCAATCCCAGCATGTGGTGTGAGTGAGTTTCCATCTGCAAATGTTCGAAGAGTCGCTAATTCAGTCTGTAGCAAAAATGTTGGGCAGAGGCCAAGGGTAACAGCAGTTGTGCTTCAGGAAACGACATTTGTCTCTGCAATGACTCTAACTTTGGATACGATCTCGGATGGTGCGCTGGCATGGAGTGCAATAGTGCGGATATCGGCGCGACGATCGACTTTCTCTACCCTTTCTGTAGTATGTGGAGCGCATCGTGTCGCTGGATTCTAGGCAATGCTGACTCTGATGCAAAGCTGCCGCTCTCAGTGGCTCTAGCGGTAGTGGACTATTTCCCACCGGAACCCTTACCGGATCGATAACCACCGCCACTCAGACCGGAGCCGGCAGAGCAACAGGGTTTTCCAGCTCTTCTGGAACCACTAGTGGCGGCTCCAGCTCTGATGGACTCAGTACGAGAGCAAAGGTCGGAATCGGAATCGGCGTCGCCATCGTCGTGCTCGGGATCATCGGCGCTGTCCTGTTGGTTTGGGCTCTGAAGCGCAACAAGAAGAATAACTCCGCGAATGCTCCAGCCGCGGCGCCTGGGCCTGCCCCTACATACGATCCGAACATGAACGGCCAAGTTCCCATGGGACAGCCGCCTATGGGCCAGTATCCTCCTCAACCGATGGCTCCACCGCCCCCAGGATGGAACCAGGGAGCCGCTCCTGTTGGTTCGACTCCAGGCTCTCCTCCGCCGCCATTTCCGGGCGCTAGCAGCTACTATGATGCCAAAGGAGCGCCAGCGAACGTTCATGAGGTCAGCGGACAACCAAACATATATGAAGCCGGTGGTCAGCCCATACTAAAGACAGCGCCAGCACCTGCTGGTTCTCCGCCTCAGGGGTATGTGCAGCCGACACCACCAGGGTTGCCTGGACAGCCTGGACAGCCTGGACAGCCTGGTTATTATGCAGAGCTTCCTACTGGTCCACGGTAACGGATCGCGATAAGTCGTGGAGAAGGATTGTGGTTGTATATTCCATGGGTTTGGGTTGGTCGTTCAGCGGCATCCTACTTTCGCTGCGATTGTATCTTCCGCTTTCTCGATTGGCGGTTCCTCAGCTAGTTAATGGTTGCATAGGAGGCGCAAGGGTGGACAATGGATTGGACTCGGTGAATAATATGGTCATGTATATTGTGTATTAGAGGTACCACAAGTGTGCAAATTCCTCACCGGCTCTGATCCGCATTCATGCGTTTGGCTCGAAACAGCGTATATCAATCTAATGTTGTGGCACTCGGTAATAGGGGAGATTCAAGAACAGCATCAAAGGAAGCGAGCGTGAAGAAGTCAAGAACCAGTAGCAACATGTCGGTTGCTGACGCATGATCCCATCCGAAGACTGAGGACAATAGCGATAGAGAGACGTTGCTCTTGAGACTGGAGACATTACAATATCTCGTAAACATGAAATGCTAAAGTCATACAAAACTGTCCACGGCCTTTAGGAGGGTTACCTTCACATTGTCTATTCACGGACGACACTCAGCTGTATGCCGTGAGGATAAAGGGACGAAGTTGCAGACTACCGTAAATGGGAATTAAAATTGGTGTTTCTGAAGCTGCTGAAGCCGTCGTCGATTCGTTACTTTCGTCTTTCTGTAAAATCTAATGTACTAGTCAGTCTCAATACTCTGGGTCACATTTTTCCGAAGTCACAGAGGTTTCCAGCAACTTATCGTGCGCCGAGAAGAGACAGTACGCCCTATCTGGATCCAGGGACTCGCAGTAGAATTCCGTACCCTGCTGATTTCGATTTGTCCTGGAGTCGAGGATCTCTGCAGAGGATACCTGTTGACCATCAATCCCTCTTGTGGATGGGCCTTGATAGGCCAAACCATGGACGCTGATGGTATTCGACGGTCATTACTCATTAGACACTCTGTAATGGACCTAACGATTTTCAGTATGACTTGAAATCTTCGTTATTATTAGTTGGTGCTTGATCATGGGATATGTCAAATGATGTTCATAAGTTCAATCTAGAAATAGTGTTTGCCATGCCTATTATGGTCTGGTGGTTGACGACAGTGGAGCCCCTAATAACTTCGCGTGCGAATCTGCAACTTCAAGCTCAGTTTCAATGTCACTGTCTTCACTTCTTACAAACATCAAAATAGCCCGCCGATGAGACGTATCTAGAAGTACGTTCCATGCCGTGCCGCTCCATTACACAAGGCTTGCACTATGCTCATATTCAATGCCACGAGACATCGCAAAGTCTCCTAGCTGGCGAGCTGAGGAACCGGCGATTCGGCTCATATCTCTTCCGTTCGTGTTCGACCTTTGACCAACCCGCAAAGAGAACGCATTCTGCATGCGGAACTACAAGATGCCACATGATGCGGGGAAATGGCTGTATCGCGATCATACTATTGGGTATTGGGATTTACCCCGAATTTCTTAAAAGCCATTCTCGCAGCTAAGCCCCAGTGGTCTGAGAACTGCTCCCAGCTTAACAAAATCGACGCTTTGCAATGACAAACCTCCAATCGACCACTGGCGGTCCCTCCAAATGGTAATTTTCGGCCATTTTCGTATCGATGACTTTCAATGCCACGCCAGTTAAGCATCATACATGAAATGTCCGGGAAGCTTGGGCGTTCACCCAGTCAAAGATGATACATAGCTGGCTGGTCGAGACCTCCTAGCATCATACAGAACCAGGCGAGCTTGTTCCACTCAATTCAGTCAGCTTCATAGGTTGTACGATGGTAAATGAAGCCGATTATTGAGATGAACAATGGACAGGTTAGGATGGGCAATAGGCACCTTAACCAGCTTTTCGATGTGACTAGTCAACAGTCTGTCATGCGCACATCCAGGCGGAGCCACTTCTTTGGAATTATGCTCATTCATCTTATGGCATGTTTAAAGTTTCAGAGTCTCCTTCAACCCTCAAGACACTATACCCGAATCGTGCCGAACTTCCCTTCATCTTCCTCTACTATCCGAATATTTCCTTACGTTTGGCTTACGTTTGGTTTCTTCCGTCCGGGAAATATGCATAGAGACATGGCTGCCTACCTATCCAATATGCTTTGAGCATGTCAATTGGATTCTTGGTTCTCGGTTCTCTTCTTCCATGTTCCGACCCGGTTTCCCTGCCAGTGGCAGTCTTTCTAGTCCAATTTTTCTTTATTTCCGTTTGTATCGCTTCATACCCAAAATCAGGTCCTCCGGGAATGTAATTTCGTGAAGCATACTGTCTCGCCCGCCCAGATACCCTGACAACTTCCTCCCCATTAGCGGCGGGATTATCCCAGGCATGAGGACTACTATTTCCCTCCGGGCTTAATTCAATGCCTCCGGCTAATCCATTCGCCTACGAGGAGGTTCCAGTCCCTTGGAGGCGTTCCCATGCAACCTCTACATGCTTCTCCATACGAACCTAGTGGAGAACCGAGATATCGTTGAGCTCAAGCCATGAAGCCCCAGGGTGAACAGCAAGCCTTCTTCGACGGAACATATAATCCCAATTTCAGCCCCTCCAAGCCCATTCCTGGCGGTTTCCTTTGCCTATTCCCAAACGCCTCCTCGGCACTTGCAGTTACCTCTTGGATATAATATATTCCACTATTCCAGAATCTCACTTCATCTCGTCTGTCAAGATGGAGGGGAAACGCCAATTCAACTGGTACAACTTTATCGTTTGCTTTTTGGTCTCCTTAGGCCAGATCGCATTCGGATACCCATCATCCATCATAGGAACTACGCTGGGATTGCCACAGTTTCTTATCTATATGGGGCTTGTTGACCCAGCGACTGGTTTGCCGACGTCAAACAGCGCGAACTTGATCGGCGCTATGAGCGGTGTCTTCCAAGCAGGTGCCTTCTTCGGCATCATCATTGGAAGCTGGGTGATGGACAAATATGGACGGAAGATGGGTATGGCCTACTGTGCATTCTTCAGCATCTTTGGTGGTGCTTTGCTGTGCGGTTCGAGAAACGCTGCGTAAGTGTCCTTCTATTAACCTCAGTACTCTATTAATGGATATCTACTAGTATGTTCATCGTAGCGAGATTCTTCGCCGGCATGGGATCATGGGGATTCCTGGCCGTTAGTAAGTGGTCCATCCCGTGACTTCGTGTCGTCTGGTTATTAACATCACCAGCCCCCGTATACTCTGCTGAACTCGCCCCTCCTGGACTTCGCGGCCTCTTCGTGGGAATGAATGGTGTCAATATTGCTCTTGGATATGGTGAGTCACCTATCTGCTTCAGGGAGCAATTATACTGATTCCATGAATAGGTCTCGCATCATACATGGGCATGGCATTCTATTATGCGGACAACGATGCCACAAAATGGCGTGGGCCTCTCGGAATGGCTCTTGTCTGGCCTTTCATGATGCTGGCTATCCTCCCGTTTATTCCCGAAAGCCCAAGGTATCTACTCATGAAGAACCAAGTTGAAAAGGCACGGGACATCGTACTGAGGCTTCACTCAACCGAAGGCGATGATGATCAGGTGTTCGCCCGGTCTGAGTTTTACCAGATGCAGAAACAAACCGAGCATGACCAGAAGATGGATATGGGCTGGCTCGATATGGTTAGGAAGCCGGGTGCCCGGAGTAGGACTGCTCTGGCCATGGGCTTTGCTTTTATCGGGCAGAGCACGGCGGTTTTGGTAATTAATAACTACGGACCTTCACTTTATGGAAAATTGGGGTTTGGGACGGAAGATCAGTTGAGATTTCAGTGTGGATGGATCACAGTTGGGGTCATCTTTAACTTGGTTGGTGCTCTAATCATGGATAAGTTAGGAAGACGTCCACTCATGCTGTTTGGGGGTAAGCACACTTATTCACTGTCTAAATTATTACTAATCATTCCTTCCTAACAGTGGCCGGTTGCTGTGTATGTCTCATCCTCGAAGCAGCTATGGTTGCCAGTTTTGCAGAGGAGGGGACAAATAAGGCTGGTCTGGGTATGGGTGTTGCGGCTTTTTACCTGGTTCGTCCATAGTGAATTATACAGTATCAGGCTAACCATGGTTCCAGTTCCTCGCGGTTTATTCTGTTGGTGTCGATGTTGCGGGTGTGGTATTTTATGGCGAGCTCTTGTGAGTATTTTATGAGTCGAGACGAGACAAGACATGACGGCGACTGACCTGTTGCAGCCCGAACCACCAGCGCGGAAAAGGTCTCAGCTTATCAGTCGCTACGATTGCACTGACGGATCTTGTGTATTTGCAAGCGACTGCAACTGCATTTGCCAACATCGGATGGAAATTCTATCTCGTTCGTGTTCTCGCACTATTGGCTGCCAAGTAAAACTAAAGTCTTCGCAGGTATTCATCATTATCACTGGACTTGGCGCGATTGTGTTGTACTTCGTGCTTCCGGAGACCAAGGGTATCCCGCTCGAGGAGATGGCCAAGATCTTTGGCGATGCAGATGATGTTGTGGTCTTCGCCGAGGACATCCATGTCGACCAGCACACGCACGATCTAGTCGTTGAGGATCACAAGACACACATCACGCATGTAGCCACAGAAACAGGGAGGGATCTGACCTCCGGGGAAGCAAACGAGAAGCAGGGTGAGGTCGCCTAAACCAATGCTCGGGAACATTGAGTTTCAGATGCGGTTCTATGTCGTCAGTGGCGAACAGTGGCTGATGTTCCTCAATAGTTTGGATACGTCGTGACTCTAATTAGGGGGACGAGAATGCATAAGAATCTTGAACAGGGTACGAAAAGCTTGAAACTATGCTTGCACTACAACGGAACCACTGAGTCGGCTCCCGGACTAACCTTGTGGCGTTCGACCAATTTAGACGCCGGCTGCCTGCATGTCTTCGTCAACCTAACGGTTGGCATCCACACAACCACACCAGTGGAAACATCACTATTAATATATGCTGAGCGACCACCTCCACCTATGTTCGGAGCCATTATGTACAGCAGAAGCGGCCCAATTGCAACTCAGTCCACCCATAGTCTGGCCCACCTTCACCACCCGCCATTCTGCCAAATACCGAGTTGACAACGCAACTTCGGACACGAACCAAGGGCGATCTAGAGATACTGATACTTGTGATGCCACACGGTGTGCCGATTGCATGCCGGGAATGGAGGGTCAGGCGATGGTCTTGAGCACGATAATCCTTTCACCGGCCAAGCACCTGTTCAATTTGTGTGGTGTAGATATGGGTGTTAGCAGTGTGTGCTCGAGCAATGTCTTTGGTCTGTATTTATGGTCTACTCGATCTCACTTGCGTCCACAGTCCACAACATAAATGCCATAATTGGCATGGTGGAATTGCCCCCCATCACGCGGGATAGATGTCTTCGCCATGAATTTAAATCGGGGGATGGGTCCGATGGGCAAACTCCGTAGGGGAACAACTCACATCAGAAGTCATGTTCTTATTTTTCACGCTTCTCGTCCTTCACAGCGCCCTTGGTGCTATCGCCACAACCCATCGCTACGACTGGGAACTTTCTTGGGTTACAGCGGCTCCTGATGGCTTCAGTCGCCCAGTTATCGGTGTCAATGGAGAATTCCCTTCGCCGACCATCACAGTCATGAAAGGTGACAGGCTCATCATTAAAGTACATAATGAGCTTGGGAATCAGTCAACCGCAGTGCATTGGCATGGAATACATCAGAGAGGTAGTCCCGAGATGGATGGAGCTGCCGGAGTGACGCAGTGCCCGATACCTACAGGGGCTTCTTTCACCTACGATTTTACTGTAAGTATTCGCACATATCGTGGGGGCATACTATACTCACCGAAGAAGCTCGAGCAAGGAGGAACTTTCTGGTATCACTCGCATTATGGCGGTCAGTACCCAGATGGCCTTCGCGGCGCGTTGATCGTGAAAGATCCAGATGCACCTTGGGCTGGACGTGTAGACGAAGAGATCACGATGACCCTCTCTGATTGGTATCATCCGAGAATGCCACCTCTGCTTAACGAGTACCTTTCTCCCGAAAGGTACCAGGCTAATGACGGCCATGAGCATTTCCCATCATCAGCTCTAATAAATGATAGACAAGGAGATCGCATTCAGGTGCGGCCGAACAAAACTTACCTCTTCCGCATAATCAACATCGCGAACTTCCTCAGTTTCACGATTCTGTTCGATCAACACCCCTTCACTGTCGTAGAAATAGATGGAATTTATATGGAAGATTTCCACGCAAGGGAGAGGCTGAGCAGATTGGCTGTCGGCCAGCGAATATCGGTACTGGTGCGGACAAAACCAGTGGCAAGCTATAACTTCGAGATCCTGTCTTTCTCAGATGTCAGTCTCGTCAGCCCTACAGAAGGACTCTCATGGAACTCCACGGCGTATCTGACATATGACGGATCGCGTCCGACTCCTACCGGTCTGTCCATAGCGGACCTCAGATATTACGATGAACTGGAACTTGTTCCTTTGAGCAGAGAGGCTCCATTCAAACCAAACAAGCAAATAGTGCTGCAAACCTCAATGGAAGGCATAAATTCAGTTATAAGGTATAGTTGTATGGAACCAAAGACTCGAAAATTGATGAATAACCAAATCACAGAGGAACAGTGGACGGAAAGACGTATCTTCCTCCAAAGGTTCCATCCCTCTACACTGCCCTCTCCTTCGATTCGGATGTGACGCGCAACCCAAGAATATACGGTCATACGAACCCGATCGTAATAAGATTGGGGGATGTGGTACAAATGGTAATCAACAACAATCATGATCATCCTCATCCATGGCATCTCCACGGCCACACGTTTCAAGTTCTGGAACGACCACTGGATTCGAATACAGGCCCTTTCTCTGGTACACTCGGACCTATATCTGCAACGCCTATCCAGCGAGACACGGTTGTCATATTGCCGGAAAGTTATGTAGTGATAAGGTTCAAAGCAGACAATCCCGGTATGTATTCGTCAATTCCCCATGGGAAAGGAAACTGAGCTGAAGCCAGGGGTGTGGTTGCTCCACTGCCATATCGAGTGGCATATAGAAGGGGGGATGACCGCCACAATTGTCGAGGCACCGGACGAATTGCCAGATATAGCCCAGCTTCATCCATCGCACATCAACGCCTGTAAGCAGTATCCGATGGACTACATCGGTAATGCGGCTGGCAAAGTTGACAATCCTTTGAATCTAACTGGAGTTCATGAATGTGTTGTCCAAGGCAGTGATGGGTCCGTCTCCTATAGATGTTCCTTGACATATTGAATATAAGAGCTGACTTGGTGATCAGGGCAACATATCCTTCAATAATTCCAGACGGAGCATCTAGAAATGAATTGGGACGTTGCGAGGGCATACCCAATGGAACAACTCCCTTCTATAGAAAAAGAATGAGGCAGCAAAATTAGACGCAATGCACAGTGCTCTTGCAATTAGTACGTTACTGTATTGGAATCAACCGTCCGGTCCGGTTGAAAGCATAGTTCTCGTTTCATCGTGGTCAGTCCTGAGGCAACTGTGGGGTAATTGGTGTTTCAGGAGTTGTGTCTCATCTAGTGATGGCATGATAGGGATTTTGGATCAGGATCTTGCTCGTAGATATGGATAGGTTCTTGTAACAATAATTGATGAAACTTTTGTTCATGTTCATTTCATGTCCAAGTTCAGGTTCGCGTCTTTCATGATTTCGTAGATCTGTTGCATGGGATAAGTGCCAGTTTCCCTCATCTTTGCTTGCCTCCTTCAAGAATTAGTTCTACAATGGAATGGTTCATCTGCATTAGCCCCTGACTGTCCATACATGTAGTGATCCTCATAGAGCACTCTTTACTTTGACATATCTTAGAGCATTGTTTACAAAGCCTTCCTCATACTAAGCTTGGCCTTCTCTACCTCACTATCTAGCAATCAGTACCATGGTACCAGTACACCCATGAATCATTATTACCCCACTTTGACCGGCTACTCAAGGAATACGGGTGAAGAGGTGTCCCTCGCTACAGTTCACGATTCGGTCGAACTTAGCAAGTGGTATGCCGATGTAGACCTCTGAATCCATATCTATAGGGTAGGTTTGGAGTCGTGTATAGATGCTGCAGACATCGTGTCGCCATGGATATAGGATATTCCTAAAATCGAAGGGCTAGGTCGTGAAATTATGCTAGTGATCTCTATTTGGCTGGCTGGGCTGTATGATAAGCTTTTTATAGTGGTAGCGAATAAGGTTTAAGATATACTATACTAGTTGAAAGGCAAGTATTCGACCAGAAGGATTGGAATAAATAGCGACAAAGACAATGGCAAGGGCTGGTTTGTGACAGGATCTGGAAAGAATCAAGTTATAAGGATCACTATGGATGAGAGGGGTAAGGCCAAATGACTAGTTACTCGATTGTAGAACTAATTCTTGAAGAGAAGAGGAAGCTAGAAGGATCGGGATTCGCTCCTTATCCTATAAATGTGCCTGCGGCGTCCTTGGATCTGGCATCTGCTGAGGGACCTGCAGTCCACGCTATGTCAAGTCGATCAAATATGCTATCGAACCGCTATGAAAGTATGAATCACTTCGGATACTTGAGGTTTGCACCTCAGGCTTTTTGAGAGGGTTGGTTTTACGCATATAGTTACATTCAGTCAGAGCTGGCAATACATTCGCCTGCCTTTTCTTTTTGAAGTCCTTCAGTAGAGTACTCCTTTGCTAGTCCTTCGACTTTGATATGCGGAGAATTGGGTACTCGCACCACCATGCGGCAATAGGCTGTCAACATGGGATCCGGCTCTCCGAAACGTGCCAATTTAGAGCAAGGTCGCGGCACAACGCAGATCGACTCATCTGTCGTCCCTAATGGCTTTCTGTCAGAAGGTCGAGCTTTACTTTGGTTGAGTAGAAGTTATCTCAGCTTGGGCTCAGACGTTACTCAAGCCATGACCCTGGTTAAGCTAAACCGTAACCAGATTAAACCCATGTTTAGCGTTAAAACTAGTCACGTGAGTGCAACTGTCTTGTGTAACGTCTGAGAAACTGTTGCGAATTTCCTGTGGAGTCGACGTGATGAGAATTGCTAGAATTGACGAGATATTCGAATAACATCATATGGAGAAGTTGAGTGGGCTCCAAAAGTTGATGAAATATAGATAAGGGTTTGTTAAACCGTCCTATGGCTTTTAAATATCAAACTGCTAACTGTACATTCTGTAACTAGAGTTTTAAAACTGCTTGTTGCGTCATCACTTGACGGGATCAATCTCCAGGTCACCCTCCATGCGAGTGAAGCGGCGGCGAGGCCGCGCCCATCAGCATGAAATCCCCTCATACCAGAATCCGGCCTCTTTACAATCAGCTTCTATCCAGAAAACGATTGAAGAACGGATATCCACCATTGCAACGACGCCAGAGAAAGAGTTATGTTCGGTACTGCAAGAGTTAGTCAAGGCCTGTCTGATACGAAAGAATGCCACATACCAGCATGATCTTATCTTCCACGGTTTACAGCGACTCCTGGGTGGTCGGCTCCCACGTATCAACCAGGTTCGGGCTCTTCGACGAATTGTTTTTCGCCATGGGGATACTATTGTCTCTGCTAAGACTGGTTTTGGGAAGAGCATCATCTTCCATGCTATCCCAATCTTTATTAGAAGAATTGTCATCCAGTTGATTCCTTTAAGCAAGCTTGGAGAGGAGCAGAAGCGGTCGATTGAACAGTTACCAGAGGCCAGGCCTTGCCTTGTTACAGCGGAGACCAAGCACACGAATCCGAACCTGTACAAGGAGATTGCAGCTGGGTTATATACCCATATCTTGATGGGTCCTGAGCAAGCAGTTAGCGATGAGTTTCGTGATTTGCTGTTAAATCCTGATGTAAAGAATAAGATTGGCGTGGTTGCAATTGACGAGCTCCATGTTATGGAGCAATGGAAGGAATTCCGTTTGGAATATCTCAAGATCAGGGAATTACGTCGGTACTTACGTGCTGATACCATCTGGTTTGGTTGTTCTGCCACTTTGAACAAGGCCACAGAACAGGCTGTCATCTATCATGGTGGTTTCCACGAAGAGACACACCATGAACTGCCACTCAAGATCATCCGAGTCTCAATTGATCGACCTGATATCTCACTTAATATTCTGCCCATTGAGAGAGGAAAGAGCATGGCTTACCAACGGCTATGGTTTCTAGTTGATCATGCATTGGAGCATCCAACTAGTAGGACGGAAGACGACCTCCAGCGAATCCCGAAAACGATTATCTTTGTAGATGGACTTCAATCGGTTGCCAATATCTCTACATCCTTAGAGTGGTATCTCTTTGTTCAAGGGTTTGAACCAACCATGGTTCGGGATGCAATTGGTGCATATACATCGAATACCCCACGATACGATCAGGACTTACTGTACGATAAGATCAGATCCCCATGCTCTTCTCTTAGAGTAGTTATTGCGACTACTGCTCTTGGAATGGGTATGGATATTCCTGATATTATGGTGGTTGCTCAATGGGGACTTCCAATCGGCCATGATCTTGGTGATATTTGGGAACGGGTTGGTCGGGCTGTTCGGGTGAAGCAGGCAATCAATGGGATGGCTTTTATATTCCTGCCACACTATGCATTCGACTCAATGGGACAGGATCCTGTTCTAATGCATGGTTCGCGTAATAATCAGCCAATGTCTCAGAAGAAAAAGGGTAAGCGGAATATACTTCGGTTACCTAATATCACCCACTCACCATCGCCATTATCGCAAGGCGATGGAGCTGAGTCTGACTGCTCTCAACAGTCTGATAATACCGAAGCAGCCAGTCAAGAGAACTTACAATCAACTGTCCCAAAGTCTAAGAAGAGGGGGAAGCTAGATAGTCCACCTACATGGACTGTTGATGAACTCAAGCATAGGGCAACCCTCCCAATGACGATCCGTTCTCTTGCAAACGCGCCATGCAGGCGGCAGGTATTCCTTACGGAGTTCAACGAGGACCAATGCGAGCCAGATACTACCCCCATTCGAGCAGACAAGAAGGTCTGTTGCAATGGGAAGGAGTGTAATATGGCATTGTTCCCGTTGCCACCAATGCCTGATATCCCCCTCAAGTCTACTAAACCTGGCCGAGAGACTAAGGCAGGTATTGCGCTGCATCTATTGGTTATATGGTGCCTTGAACAGGTGGAATCGATCTTCCCACGAGCGCAGCAAAAGATTCCAATTCCAGCTGGGGTGATCATTCCTCAAGAAGCGCAGTGGGCTATTGCTCGTATGTATACCTGTGTGAAGAACTCAACAACG